CAAGCTCCAATCCAGCCGCCCGGTCCCTGACGGGAAAGAAACTCCGTTCCAGCCCGTCTCACCCACTAGAAAGTCGAGGGAGGACCGGCCTTAGAACCCAAGTCTAGATTACCTTCGCTCACGCCCACTTCTGCCCCCAAGATCTGCTGAGGGGACGCTTCACTTGCCCTCCTCACTCAAGGGGGCCATTCTCCACTTCCGCTCCGGGGCTACTTCCTGGGGTGGCCGCTCCTAGGGTCTGCGGCGTCTCCAGCCAAAGAGGTAGTGAGGCGAAGCGCCGGAAGGCCGGAAAGGGAGCCCACACCCACCCACGCAGCCCGGGGAACGTGCGCCCACTTCCAAGCCGCGCCGCCCCCGAACGCTCGCAGACGGCAGCCTGAGGACCCTAACACATACACTGCGCACGCGTCCTCTGGGCCGGGCTGGCGTCACGTGCGTCAACATTACGCACGTCGGGGACTCTCGCGACGCCGAAGTCTTCGCTCTCTAGGTTTTGTTTTTCCGCTGGGAACTGGAGCTGGGAGGAGCCAGCTTCCCGCCCCTCGGCGCTATGGCAACGGGAGCTGCGCATGTAGACGGAGCGTCCTTTGGCTCCGCCTCCTGAGAAGGTGGAGAGGCGAGGTGGGGAGGGGCAGACCTGTCCCGGACATGCTGGCTCCGCCCACCTAACTGGACCCCGGAGGCTTTTTAGTGCGAAGTCCAGCCTGGGTTAAAACTGACCCTCAAAAGATAATATGAGGTTAAAAGAAAACTAGAGAAACTCTGTAAGATAACACTCTGTTATTTTATATATAGATACATACATGTATAAAAGATCAATTATAAACCGATGAGAAAAAGACAACCTAGGAGAAAAAGATTCGAAGGGACTGTCTACAGAAAAGTAATGAAAGCAGGTAAGAAGGGTATACAAAATTGTTTAACCTAGTTATAAATAAAGAATTGGAATTGAAAACGAGAAAAAGTCTTGGGCAAATAAGTTCATATGCCGGGGTGGTAGTAAAAATTAGTATAAACCTTACAGAAGGAAAACTTTAAAATGGGCGTGCACTTTAACCCATGCCTACCGATTTATCCTTAGGAAATAATCAGACAATGGCACTCACTTTTGACAAAATGTTCATTTCAGCACCTTTATAACAAAAAGTCGAAACACTCTAAATGTCAACTTTAAGGGAATTAATTAAATTATTTATGGTGCACCCATATAATGGGATACAATGCAGCCATTACAAATGGTTAATGTCTATGTGTGTCCACAGGGCACATCTTCCGTGATAAACAGTTTTGCATAAAAATAGGAGAATACAGAGTTCAAACCATTTATGTAAATATGTATAAGTAAATGAATATGTAGGTCCCTGGGTGGCACAAATGGTTTGCACTTGGCTGCTAACTGCAGGGTTGGTGGTTCACACCCACCCAGCCATGCCTCAGAAGAAAAGCCTGGCAATTTGCTTCCATAAAGATTACAGCCAAGAAAATCCTCTAATGCTCAGGTCTACTCTGTAACATAAGGGGCCAGGAAAGTTCTGTATCTTGGTAGGTGTTTAGGTTA